GACTATGACTTTACCTCGTTTGGAGTTGATGGCTGCTTTAGTAGCCGCCAAATTGTCTATGTATTTGACAAAGCTGTTTCCTGAACTGTGTCATCAAAAGTTTCTTTGGAGTGATAGCCAAATAACTATCTACTGGATAAAGGGATGTGCAAGAAACTGGAAACCCTTTGTATCAAACAGAGTTTCTGAGATATTCAGTCACTCACGGATCCTGAATGCTGGTTTCACTGCAGTGGGAGTGAAAACCCTGCTGACCTTTTATCTCGAGGAGAAAATGCCTTTAATCTTGTGAGAAGTTCCCTTTGGTTACAGGGACCTAGCTGGCTGTCTCAACCTGAAAGTGTTTGGCCAGTAAATCAACAGACCAACATCGACGAGGAGAGCGTTCAGAACGAAGCAAGGGTGCAAACATCTCTTCATGTTTCTGTTCAAGACGTAGAATCTTCGGCATTACTAGAGTTAACGCGATTCAGCAGGCTGCTGAAGGTGTATCGAATTACGGCTTATGTTATGCGGTTTACCAACAATATAAAACAAAATTCAGTGAAAGTCAAAGGTCCATTAAGCTCTGTTGAGATTTCGCAAGCTGAGTTCTATTGGGTAAAAGTTACACAGCGAAAATACTTTGCGAAAGAGATTCTAGATCTATCAAGTGGAAAATGCTTAGAAAAGACATCGTCGATTTATTCACTTAACCCAGAATTGGATACCCATGGTCTTCTGCGTTTAAAGGGCAGACTTCAATTCTCAGACTTTGCTTTCGAAGAAAAACACCCATGGCTGTTACCTTATAAAGATAGATACAGTGAACTAGTAATTTTTGAGTCTCATAACAAATTGTTTCATGCTGGAGTCGAAGCTACCTTAGCCGATATTAGAGAAAAGTTTTGGATCATAAAAGGACGCCAATTCGTCAAGTCCACGTTAAGTAAGTGCTTTTTGTGTAAACGATACAAGGTGCGTGCCGGTACACAGGAAACCGCTCCTTTACCACCTGATCGTGTTCTTCAATCATCTCCATTTTCTGTAACAGGGCTGGATTATGCTGGTCCCTTTTTTACAAAGGACAGCAAGAATAAACATTATCTGCTTTTGTTTACATGTGCTACAACTCGAGCTTTACATCTAGAACTTGTCCCTTCTATGAGCGTGGAGAATTTCATGCTTGCGTTTCGCAGGTTTATTTCTCGTCGTGGATTGTGCTCAACGATATATTCGGACAATGCCAAGACATTCAAATGTGCTGATCTCGAGTTGCGAAAAATTTGGAAGTGTATTCAACATCCATCTGTACAAAATTTGTTTTCTTCCCACGGTATAACATGGAAGTTTATTGTGGAAAAAGGAGCATGGTGGGGAGGGTTCTGGGAAAGGCATTTTAGAACGATCAAAACTTGTTTAAGGAAAATAGTTGGACGTTCTAGTCTCTCTTTGAATGAGCTAGAAACAGTCTTCGTAGAAATCGAAGCCATAATTAATTCAAGACCCATAACGTATGTCTACAATGACCCTTCAGAACCCTCACCGCTAACTCCTGCTCATTTCTTAATTGGTAAACGTTTACTTTCTCTTCCAGTTACAAGAGTGTGCAGAGAAGACTTGATTGGGTCTAGACATTCCTTGATCAAAAGGTATAAACATCAACAAACCTTGTTAAACCACTTTTGGAATAGGTGGAGGAAGGATTACTTGCTTTCTTTAAGATCTGTGAATTTATGTCCACCTACTAAAGTGTCTAGTCACTTTAATGTTAATGATGTAGTCCTTGTACATGACGACCGTTTACCTAGGAATTTGTGGACACTAGGTAAGATAATAGAAACTTATCCTGGCAGAGATGGTCAGGTTCGCTCTTGTCTCATTAAAACTCAAACAGGTAATCTAAAGAGACCAGTACAATTGCTGTACAACCTTGAAGTGCATAATTAGTAGTAAAGAGTTACAGTGTAATAATCTGATTTATTGTTTGCACATATGTCATCTTCTGAATATCTTTATTGATTGTTGCTAAATGTAGTTTAGTTTATATAATTCTTGCGAATTTTGATTTAGTATAATGTTTCTTATTTAGTAATTACTTTATAAGTTGATTTAACGTGTTTAAACATTACTTAATTGTTATTTGTAATTTGATGTAGTTTATATAGTATTCAAATGTTGTGTTTGATTTAGAAATTATGGTTTATTTGTATTCGGTTTCTGTGAACTTAAAGAGTTCACAGGTGGGGAGTGTTGTAAAGAGAGAAGTAGAGGGCGCTGCTTGGCAGTAGCGTAATGCATGTAAGTAGAAACGAAATATCGTTTTGATTAGGTAACATGATTTCTGTGAAGGTAGTCCGCCTAACAATAGGACAGTTGTAAATATGTAAATATAACGAATAATAAATAGCATTAGAAAAACTGAACCATCGGATGTTTTGTGTCCCTCTACGGGCCGCCATGGATAAATGCAGGTTCGTCCTCTCCATCTTGTATGAAAATGATTTCCCCCAGGCATTGTCTTTGCTGAAGTGCCGGAATGACAAAGCTGTTCAACATGTGGCGATATTTCTCTCCGGTAACAGAACAGGTTTCTGTTCCTGTCGGGGTAATGTTCTCATAGAAGAATGGACCTATGATAAATTCCGCTGTGAACCCACACCAAACAGTTACCTTTGGTGAATGTAAGGGAATTGCTGTGATTGCATGTGGTGATTTGTTATCCCAAGTTCGGCAGTTCTGGGTATTCACAGTTCCATTCAGGTAATAGTGGGCCTCGTTTCCCTATAAGATCATCCATCACGGCCAAGCATCATCCACCTCCATTCTGGCAAGAAAGGTGAGAGCAAAAGTCAATTGCTTATCATGGTCGGGGTACAGTAACTCCCGTACACGACTGATCATGTACGGATAGAAGTTGATAATCTTTCGTAAGATTTTCCATACCGTACTGTAAGGCATATCCATATTCCATAAGGCATATCCATAATAAAAGGTAATTTTATTCCGTATAAATTTGCATTTGTTAACACTCTATTTTCTATTACACAGCGCCAAATATTACCCTAGCGGTGACTTTTGGAAATAGTTTTTTTTTCACGGAATCCTTCGTCCCCGTCTTGTTTAATCTTCCTACAAAATGTGGCGTCATATTCGCAAATAGATCGCGCTACAGAACACTGTGAGCACTGTCAGTTTAATTATGGGCACCCGGTATTTCAACTAACACATTTGTTAATTTTTCTAGTTAATGTCAAAACGCTTTACTTTAGAATAGAATGATGAAACATATTGTGAGTTTTTAAAAGTACTACTAAACAGTATCCAGTGCAGTGCAGTATGGATCGCTCTAACGGGCGCCAGAATTTTAAACTGTATTTGCAGTGACAAATGTTAGGAGGAGAGGAAAGGAAACATTTAAACATACGTCTTAATGCGTACAAAACTCTTCTCTAACTGATGCACTTGGAAAAAATGAAACTAAATTTTATACGCTTAATGGCTTAAGGAGAAAAATAACATTTTCCCACTTCAATCACAAAAATATTAAAATGCATAAATCTCTTACACGATAGTGAAAATTTATGTAGCTCACAGCATTACTTTCATTACAAATAAAAAGCAGTAAAAAAGGCGAATTTTAAATCTACCTGTTATAGTTACATATACAATTAAAGTACAAAAGTAGAATCAAATATCATACCTTGCACAATTAAGTACTTAGAAGAATTTTTAGAACGTAAAATTCTGTATCGAAGGATGGTTTTATCATTCGTTACACGTGAAAATTTTCTCCGATATCTGATCAACCCCATTTCAGGAAGGATGGATATTGGAAGAAAAGGAATTAGGGTACAAAGGAAGAGGGTCCCTTTTTGAATTACAATCAAGAAAATAACACATATTCATTACATTTTGGGGAATTTTTAAATTTCAGGGCCAAATCCGTTACGCTCGAAGGGTTAAAAGCCATACAGTGTTTGAACTGTCAATGTCACATCCCTGCAAATATAAAAAGTATTAAGTGATGTAATAACTTGTTTTGGATTTTAGTAGACGCTATCACCCTTAACGGTTGTTGAAGACTAAAACGCCCAAGATGACCTTTCATTCAAACAACGACAACCGCCCAATACGGCCGAGATTGCAATGCCGAGATTTGTCTTTTCTTCCGTGAGCCTAATATAAGCAGTAGCAAGTGCAGTTTCCCCATACGAATTGTACCAGTTTATTGTTGACAACTTATCCTAAAAGACTAATGAAAGCTTCTTTGTTAGGAAGTAGAAAGTATGTCATTTCAAATCTTTACACCTATTTTTGTGCGTTAATGGACGGGGAGCGGAGGAAGCGAACAGGACGAGTGATAGACAGGGATGGGCGTTTCGGTATTTTAAATATACAGGTTAGTCAAGGCTTCGTTTTCCTAAGGGTTGATGTACAGTACTTCTAGAACAGAGATTTATCGTTTATTGCGAATGTCGCATAGGGTTTATAGCTTTGCGTGCTGGAATTTTACTTTTGGCAATGCCATGTCCTGGGCAGTTGCCGTCACGTATTGCCACTCAAAGCATTGCAAAACAAAGGGTGGATTAACTGTGCGGGAGGCAAGGATGAATTCTACAAAGTACATAGTTAAAATTTCAGATGCACATGCAGTACAAAAATTGAATCGCTATATTCCAAGCTTTATTTTAAACAGTAACAAGCTTCTTCGCGTATTGACTCACAGGATGAGAGTATTGTCAACCAAATATGAGAATGAACTCGCAAAAAAAACGTTGCAGCGTTCTACACAAATGATTGAAAAATTATAGAACCTGTCCAAAAAATTACAGAACTTACTTCGAATTAAGTAAGAACTATTTAAATGGATTTATAAGAACTAAAACATTTCCCCTAGTATCTCAAACCGCACGGAAACAAAATAACACAAAGTATAATATGAAATGCGTTACGGTATAAGTTATAAAATCAAAATTTAGCAAAAGATGTTTTTCCTCGTAAGTTTTCCGAATACTTACATGGTGCCCATGAAACCACTGCGGCATGTGCAAGTGCCATCAACAGGATTACATTCAGCTTCGTTACGGCATTTGCATTTCTTTTTACAGAACTTCCCATAAGTGCCCTTTGTGCATTGTTCTCTGCATTGTGATCCTTGCCAACCTGAATCAAATTTATTTCATAAAAATATTATACATCCACACAGTTTAATACAAGTTACATAAAAATAAGTTAATAAAGTTAATAAGTTAAATAAAAATATTGCACAGCTCATTTATCAAACTATAAAAACAGAAAAAACGAAATTTCAGCTATTTTTATGTAAATAATTTACCTGGACTGCAAGAACAAATTCCATGTATAGGATCACAACGTCCACCGTTTGCACAAGTACAGTTATTGTAACAATTTTTCCCCCAAGTTCCCGCTAAGCAGATCTCATCGCAGCTATTCAGTGGAAAAGAAGTACAGGTAAGTATTATTGATCTGAGATAAAAATAAATAGCTTAATTTGTTTATTACGCTCAACATGTAAAAGTAAAGTATATCTTTAATGCCCATAGCCTGAGAAGGAGAAGGAAAAGCTTGGCCAGCGGAATAATTAGTCCGACGGAGCCATACCTGGCGGGCGTTGAGTGGTTTTTGGACGAAAGTAATGAAAAAAAAACAAGAAACAAAAAGGAGAGAGAGGACGAAAGTGGTCAATCAGGGCAAAGGGACTTCTTACCCTGGCTGTCAGAAGGGACGGTCCGATTGTTTGGTGGCTGAAGGTCAATCACCATTTTTTTTTTTTTTTTTTTTTTTTTTTTTTTTATGCAGAGATTGTTTTTCTCATCCGACGGAGACAGTGCAGGACTTACCTATTCATGCTGGTACCTATAATGTATAATAATCAGAAATTGTTTACTTATTAAACAAACAATAAAAAGGTGTCATCTATGCGTCGATCAACAATAACATGTGTGAAGAAAATTTACCCCACGCTACGGATAATACAATGATTCTTATTTCCATCGGCACGACTACGACTGTCAACTACAATATCACTAAAATTTATTAAACAAGATTATACATATTTAATTTTTCTCATATTTAAAAAGAATATATTAAAACACTGTCGTGAACTGACGTATATTTCACAGCTAATAACGGTACCTTCCAGTTTTTATTAGAAATATTTCGCATAAAAATTGTATTCTTGCAAGGATTTCTGCACAAAATTTTAACTTGCTTTTGCTGGGAATGTTTTCCAATACCTCATCTTCTTTAATATTAGAGGATGCGCTTTCCACTGAAATGCCCTTATTAAAACCAAGCCTATTTTATATGCGCAGCTATTAATGTTTAAAAATGTGTATGTTGATATAATTTATTTCTTTGACATCACCTTTTATGTTAAAAGAACTTGGTTTACCTCAAGTGTTGTATTTGAAATATTTAGTTTCCTTTTCTCAGTAATCCTTCCAACGAATCTTCAGCGTATTAAGTTCATATACGTGAAATGTATTATGTGCAACATTTGTTTTTCTTTAAAATGCACTTATAAAATAAAAATAAGTCTTCTATATCAAGATATATCATTGCATAATCAGACCATTGCATTTTATGAGGTATCAGTTTTGAACGACGTTCTCTGATGACAAGCCTCACATTTGGAAGATTTCATCTAATCGTATTTCGTCCCACAGGAAGATATTCGTGAGAGAAGTTTTGAGACAAGCAGTTTTAGTTTGTGCTTAGGATCCTGAAAGATTACTTATCATCTGTCGATTCAAGTTCCCTATTTTGTATTCCTGAAAAGATGACGAAGCTGTGACCAGTTAGTAAAACATCTTATATTAAGATTATTTCTTGAATAAAAGGTAACTTCAAAATCTCATTTACGATAAAGTTAGCTGATGAAAATTCTCCAAAAAAATTCTGGCAAATATTTCAGTAGTTCTAAAACGTATAATTAAGCCTAACACGTGTTATAAACCTCGCAGCCTTTTTTGATGACTTTTGTACTATTCCGTTTTGCAATGTCAGTGAGCGTTAACTAACATACTGAGTCGAAACTAACAAAAGCAACTTTACTTATTTTACAAAATGTTCGTAAAAAATTTTCAAATTTACATTCGATGCAAATGGATAAAATTCTGCATAAAGATTGCTTGCAATTAATTTTGTTTCAATTACGACAATCTTCAGTTAAGTCTAACACATGACAGTACATTTTCATTTTTTCTTCGTATTGTGAATTTGGGTTAAGTATTAATTATATTTTATTAGTACCTCAATACATTAAATATAGGCAAGAAATTATCGCAATAAACGAAATTAAGCTATTTATAACTAATTTAATTTATGCCTGAATGAAGAATCAGAATAGTTCAAAATATTTCAGAAGTTAATTTTAGTATGCCTTGAATATTTGAAGATATTTATTTAGAAATAATAATGACGAATTATATAGTTGTCTTTAAGCAATAACCCAAATAATTTGATAGATGATTTTCCTTATTTATTATACTGCATAGTACTAAATAATTATTTATTTCACAGTAGTAGCCACTAGTAATTTATTGAACAGATAAAAGCTACCACTCAAACACAGATTTGTTACAAAATATAAGAAAAATACAAAATATATGTTCTCACAGACGTATGGAAGAATTTCGGATATACCTTCGGCTATTCGCGTTTATCAACTCCAATACTCATTATTTTAAAAATTTACGAATGAAATCATATCAAAGAAGCAGTCTGGTGTAATGTTGAACAGTTGTATATCACGCGAAGAGAAAGTTCTTTATCGAAAACAGAATAACCCTCAAATTTCCTTGCACGTACAACAAAATGGCACTTCCTCGTGATTGCTCAATTTTTTCTTTAGCTCGCATTAATATTCCCTTTCCATGAACTGCGGACTTCAGATATGTTGCAAAACGAAATTAGATTCCAGGTCTTTTCAATGAAAACTTCTTTAAAGCAATCTCAAAATTATCCTTCTCTCAAAACGAATACCTTTCCTACTTTTATGAATTCATTCCTGTTTATTAATTTTAAGGTCTTGAAATATTAGCAATGTAAGACAGGGAGGGAAGTAAGCGGGTCATAGGTTCTGAAAGAAAAGGTTAGTGGTACGTTATAATTACAAAATCTCAATATGAATACAAGGGAAAAAATTTTTAGAACCGCTGCTTTAAAAATATATATATATAAAAATCTTTAATTTAGGAATTCTATTTTGGAAAAACTGTGGTTGCATTCAAAATCAAACTTGATAGAAAATTAATTATTGCATACAAAATATTTGAAATTTACTTCTAGGTTTTTTCAAATTATTATTCTTTGACATACAAAATATTCCTTCATTGAGTTTCATGAATAAATTGAAAACAATCATTAACAGATTAAGAACATTTGACTCAATATAAAAGAAACAAACTGACGTAGTTCCTTGATAGCCGGGAAGACAATCGCAAAGTCCATCAATTGGATGACAATAAGCCCCATTCTGACAAGAGCACTGATAACTGCAGTTCTTTCCATAAGTGCCATTTTCACAAGGTAATTTGCAATTCGGACCTGTCCAACCTACAGGAATAAAGAAAAGCAAATGTCAGCTTTTAATAATAAATATTGTTTTTCTGTGCTATGCATTTTAGACACAATCTTTTATGGAAATCTGTTATTTCTTAACAAATTCTTCTTTCTTATCAGGTATAATAATCACGACAGTTAATTTTTTAAATGAATGTTAATTCTTAATAAATACTTTGTTTTCGGAACAAACTCTGCAGTTGCGTATGTACTCCATCTAGTCGATTATTAGCATTAAGATCTTTTTTGTTTTATTAAACAGAAAACGTAGAAATCGAAACCTACTATGAAACCTCTTTCAAATGATTTATTGAAACATCGTACGAACTTAAAATAATTTTTTCCAACGTAAATGATTGAAAGAAACTTAACTATTTACAGAACAGTTACAATGACATTACCCACCAATTCTGTAGTTCAGTGTAGGATAAAAAGTGTTTTCTAATTTTATCGTTTTGGAAAAGGGGACATTCAGTTGGTCGTCGGCGATTTGATGTTTTCTGCGGCTAATAATACTAGCAACCTTAAATTTGTATGAAGCATGCCCAATATTTTTTGAATGAAATACTTTCTTATCTAGCTATCTTTCTTGTTCTTCTTTACATAAGAAGTATTTCATTGTGAAGATCATTAGACCTTTTTCGAAAGCGAAATAGGAATGCCATCGCAAAGACCTTGTATTATATCCTTTCCATCTGCCACTTAACCTTTTAATTCGGACACCAATATGAAAACCGTTAGATTCTTTGCAACAGAGGAAAGTGATAAATTCAATCGTGCCTCACTTGGGTTTTCGATCACCTTAAATGACTGCACTCAAGAAGAAAAACGGTAATTCCTCATGTTGGTTGGTTGGTTGGTGTCGTGTCCTTTGAGAAGTCAAATGTATCAGTGCGTGGAAATCGCAGCTTTAGATAGTTCCATAGTCTTTTCACTATACAGCTCTCCCTTGAAAGGAAATTCTCCTTCAAACTTTAAATGACCTCTCATGAAAAAAAAGGTGCTATTGCCTCAAGAGTTTGGACTTCTGTCTGTTGGTCCTCGAAAGATATTTCATTTCTCTTCTACCACCAGAAGGAGGCATTCCCCTATCCGCCACTTTGAGAGCACGCCCTCTAGGGGTTACAGCTTCTCATGTTTAGACAGTGAAAACCATAATCAGTCAATAAACTTTCCTTTGCTTGTTTTTCACAACTCTTCTCTTTACCTACTTTTTGCATTGAAGAAACTTTGCTATTTCAAACAAATACACACTTCGTTTCTTGTAACTGTCTGTCCAATAAAACTCTTTAAACATTTCTATTTCTGTTCTCTGACAGGCGTATTACATGTAGAAGATTCCAGCTGACAGCATGGATCTCTCTTAAATGCAATCACGTTTGCCTATTTTTTAGTATAAACTGCTTGAGATTGCTTCGTAGCCTTTCCCTTTAGTTTTCTTTTAATTTTTTATCATCAAAGATCCGATAATAACCACTTATTCTATGATTTCTTTCTAATGCATATATTATCCTAACCGCCTATTTTTTCCTTCTTGGAAATTGCTAAATAATTTGAATCACTAATTGGTTGCAAGTATCTTATTAGTTAATAAGAAATAAGTAAAGACCATGGTAGCCTTGCTTTTGATATTCAATTACCGTCAGTTAGGGACTTATTTTAAATATTACAGAAAGTATGAGACAGTTCATTGACATATTCTGCAATGACGCATCTCTAAATCAGTAGCCTTATTCCATTTTTTTTTTTTTTCTAAAGGGAACTCTAGTTATGCTCTTATTTTCGAGAGAACGTTATACGCTAGAGCGTTTGAAAAGCCAGTTTGACAATACTGTCCAAACTATGTGGCACAGAACAAAATGAGGTTTTAAGGCTCTTCTAAATGACAATAGTTGTTTGATACATTTACAAGGCAGTTTTGAAGAATGATAGTTAAATTGATTGATGAATGTGGATTAAGTAAGACAGTATTTAGAGAACAATGCAACAAAGATTATTAAAATTCTCTGTTGAAATGAAGTTACTGAGTTTGAAAGTTGTACATTTCAATTCAATCATATAAGTGTTCAGTGGTTGCTTGTTCACTAGGGTATAAATTCAAATGGGGCTAATGATATTTTAATTTTGTACTAGATATGGCAACAATATACCATCACAGAGATACAATTAAAATTAACCAAAACTTGTATTAGAATAAGTGGAAAAAAAATTTTAAATACACAATTAAAATGAGCGCTTTTATTGAAAAATTCATTCAAAGATTATGATAAGGAAATGTGAAGGGTTATGTAAAATATACAACCAAACCAAACAAAGCTGTTGGTCACATAAATCAAACCAAACACATAAAACAAACTAATCACATAAACCAAGCCAACTCTGTTGGTCTGTATAATGAAGAAAATGGATAATGACTGTATAATTTTATTAAAAGACACAATTTTAGCTTTCAGTGGTGTATTAAATTCTTTATTACAAATTTCGACATTGATCGCAATGAATCATAATAGGGATCATTTGTGAAAGATCCATCCCGGGGAAGAGGTAGACGTGCCTTATAGTGCTTGTTCTTTTGTGATATAGCAAATATCTAATTCAATTAAATCTCTTAAATTCCTCAGCATTTATTTATTTCATTTACTATTAGAGTGCAGATTTTGCTTAACCAGCAGCGTAAAGAATGCAAGTCCCAGAGTTCGTAAATGTTAAGAACATGATATGTCCATTATGTAAGAAATTAAAATTTTAAACACATCTAACAGGATTGCTCAGTATTTTGGTCTGGTCAAAACGTAAAACAGGATCGATTTGTTTTACATTTTTCCTATGAATTTTCGTAAAACAAAGAATCAAGTTATTAAAATATTAAAAATAATCTATAAAATTCGCTTGAAAATGTGATATTCCCGAAATCTGAGGAATCTCCTAATATTCAAGAAAATAATCTGAGAAATATTGCAATTTTGTTTTGGTAGCCAAACGTTTCCTAATCAACCATTTGAAAGGAATAGTGTAGCTTATTTGTCATTTATCCATCTGATCACCCAGACCAGTTACTCAATAAATAGATCAATATTATTATCGCGAGAAGAGCTGGGAAACACGCACAAACAATCAAACCATACGCAGGGTTTGAACCCTCGCCTTGTTATCAGGTTAACAGTTATATTCTTCTAATAATTATATTGACATCGTGACCTGCCGAGTTTTTGAAAATTGCAATAGATAGGAGAAAGGATTTTTACTTGTAGTGTGACTAAAGCTGTTTATTTTGGAATGAAATTGGAAAAATCATTCTCGTATCAGTAAATATGCTTAGATAAAATCTTGTTTTAGACATCAGTTGAAAAAATTAAAATCTTAAGTTCAACAAAATAAGTAACTAAAATATAAATAGCGCACGCCTAATAATAGACGCCAATCATAATGATTATTGTATTACAAGCTTGTATAATGTTAGGTTAAAATTTTATATTTACAGAAAATGCTCAGATTTCTTTGGCAAGGAAATGAATAGTTCATAAAATTAACTTTATCATGTTTAGTAACCAGAGTTTATATTCCAGATGAAATTAGTCCCGTTAAATATATTTCTTGCAGTTTCAATCTTCTAAAATTAATCACCATATGAATTCTACATTCGCCTAAAACATTCAATGCAACAGAAATGCAAAGTTCAAACATCCATACATAACACTTAGAATCCTGACCAATCGAAATTCGGAGTCACGAAGTTTAGAGCTATGTGTGTTCACGCATTTGTATGGTACAGTAGAGTTAATCTCAGTTCCTAAAAGCAATACACAGAATATTAATTCATTCACCTGGTGCACAGAGGCAGGCTCCTAAAACTGGATCGCATGTTGCTCCATTTTCGCAAGTGCAGTTATTCGAGCAAGCTTCTCCCCATGTCCAGTTTGGACAAATTTCACTGCACCTATAGGAAAAGGATGCAATTAATAGATATGTTTCGCTTAGTCGGTAGCTACGAAAATAGCAGTTAATTAAATAGGAATGTTACTGTGAAATGGCTTATTGTTATAGCTTGCCTAGAAGTATTATTTCGAAATGTGTAGATATGTTTGTATAGTAGTTTTATTAATGTTTCAAAACATGATTATTTCGCAAATGATATGCACTTTACTATTCCTTCACTTTACCAAAATATTAGTTTTTGATCATAATTTCATCTAAATGAATTAAATCCCTAATTAACACTAAAATAACATCCTTCAAATAGTTTTAAAGGGATATATGTTTGGATGAGTATTTTTTTTTTTTTTTAATTTTCATATGAGTTGTTCTCACTAAATAGATCTAACTAATAATCAATTATTATAGCGTAGTAGTTAGTTTGCTTGATTAAATATAGAAATGTTCGCAAGGGCTATCGATCTATTTATACAATCCATTACCGAGGACTTTCTATGGGAAACTAACTTGTATTTAGTTACACATGGAAAAATTCATTAAACCTAAAAATATTTTATCAGATAAAATTTCGGGATCGAAATACGATTTTTAATCCGCTTGCATGTTACGTATAGCATTTCAAATATAGAAAATTAAATTTAATATAATTTTTTTCTCGCTCAGTATCTTGTGAAAGGATAATTTCTTTAAAAAATACATTTAGGAGAAAATAAAGGATCAGTTACAAACTTTGAATGGCCCACCACAGGCCTAGTGTAAAATCGGTCAAGGGATCAAATTCCAGCGAACGGATTGGCTGCATGGTTTTCCCCATGTGAGCTTGTAGTATATGAACCAGTTTCCCTTAGAATGTCTTTCACGAGCGCATACCTCCCCCTTAGGCGACGTATCTCTGGAGTGCTTGGTCATAATGAAAGAAATCCAAATAATGCAAAATTTGAAAGCAACCATTTCCCGCTATTTTTTTTTTCTGGATTTTGTTATTAGATGGTTAAGAGGAAATTCAAAAAATAAACTGCATTTAAAAGTGGATGATTATTTTAAAAACATTTCAAATCAGTCAATCAAACTCTTTTTAACTATGAAGGAAATAAGTAGTATAATCTCACACATTTAATTTTCAACATAATACTACTCTTTCTGTGAAATATTAAATGAAAAAGAAGAGCCAATACATAAATAATTTTGCTTCAGTCATGATATATTTGCTATGCGCTTTATAAATCCTGAACACTTACCGAGTTATTAAAACAATGAAGAATGACAATTTCTTATTCGTATTACTTCTTGGGCTGTATTTTAGATGGATCGAAACGGCTTCCCACGGTTTTACTCGTTAAGGCGTACAGAAAATACAAGTCAGAAAATACTAATCATATATTTTTTCCAAAATTAAATAAATAAATTGGACTTCTTAGATGGCAAACTTTTATGCTAATGAAATTAAATAACCGCGAATTTCAATTATTAACATCTGCTCTTTAATAAATAATTTGAAATTCGTGCAAAAATAAATATAATATTTTTCGACTCTTCAATGAAACAATCTTCTTGATAAGAAATCAATCACATTGCTTTCAGAATTTAAGTTCAATTACATGATATAGCAACAAATACCTCTTTTAGATAATAATATCTATGCCAGAGCATCTCTTCCTTTGTTTTCCGTATGGAGTAGGTAGAAAATTTAACGTGGTGAAATAAGATTAGTTCCAATTATGTCTTAACAAAGAGTTCCTAAAGGAAACTCATTCAAATTTATATTAGTTCAAATTTATATTCAAATTTATATTAGCAGAAGTCAATAGCTTATGCTACTAGAAATCAATGCAACCCAGTCACCATGCTTTTCGGTTACCTCCGATTACACTTTTGTGGGGACGTTTTTGGTGACAGGGAAATATCCTCATTACAGTTTGTATCTGCTTCTGACTTAACTTTTTTTTTTTTTTCAAACAGTCTGGAGTTGTCTGGTACGTAGTCTGTAATAACACGCAGTAAAGATTTCATATGCCTGTTCTTTATCTCCTTTTATAAACACTCGCTTATCTCGAAACAATACCACCGACAATCTATTGTCCATCTTCGCAGCATGCCAGTTTCACTTAATAAGCTTTCATCAATTTAAAGAGCTTTATTTCCTGCAGTTATCAATAGTTTCATGGACATATTTGCACCAGTCATTTATCACTTTTGGTGACATAACATAACCTAGTTTTCATTCACAGTACTTGATGGACATAGTTTCAAAAATCTATCTCGAAACAGTCATAACACTTCCGCATACTACTCTCAAACCAATTCTGATCACATATGCCAGATTCCTCTCGGCAAATTCTCTGCGACACTGTCACATAATTTTTTTGTCTGAATGTAATTTCATCGAATGGCTGTTTTGGTCAGTTGTTGCCGAAGAATACCGCACTTCTGAAAAACAATTACAGCTTCTGAATTCGTCACCAGCAAATATTTTATACTTGCTTTTAGTAATCATTAGTAACCCTTAAAGCTTCTTGACTAAACGTTAATGCATGCAAGAAGTAAATACTAACACCAAATTAAATGTCGACAGAATAGCACTGTGACTTTAAGCAAGTCATTGTTATAGAAACAAAAGAAAACTTTTTACGGAAGAACTTTTAATATTTGGATTAAAAAACTGATATACCTGTACTAACGTTTGTGAGGTTTCTTTAATTTGAATAACCCGTTATTTTATGTTTGGAACCTTTATTGTCACCTCTCTGTTTCCGTTCTCTCATCGGACTACAAATGAGCTCGCGTGTATTTACACTGAGACTTTGAGTTTGTTGAATCAAAGCGTGCTCTGTGTCTTAGAGGCCACGTTACTAGGTTTGATATTTTTACGTTCATAGAACGTTCGAGCTGCAAGCAACTCGAATCCACAATGAGCAACGCCTTCGCCTGGAATCGAACCGCGGACCTCTGGAATACGCGCTTAGCAAAACAAAAATTTCTGTCTTCAGCCTTGCCGTATACTTGCGATATTTAAATTCCCGTTGGTAAAAATCTGAGCCAACTTCGCTTTAAATTACTTTCTGTAGCCTTTGGCTATTAGTTATTTAAATTTAGCAGTACATTTGAATTTCTATTTTGAGTTCTTGCCATAAATGCTGGCGGATTTGTATGCACAAAAATTGCCTTCTGTTCATCTTATTTAGTTTAAAACAAAGGATCTTTGGCACCACTCTGAAGTTTTTGCTCTTACCTCAGACTTAACGATATGTCGTTTAACTTCTATAAAAAGGTTGGGAACAATTTATAACAGTGAAAAACTTTAAAACTTATGCATTTTATCTTTGTATGTTTTCTGAGATTTATACTTGGATTCTCTCGTAACGCATTTATTATCCAGCATTACATAAAGTAGAGCATGATTAAGCATTTTATTGAACACACAATACTTTGAAACTTGTAAAGAAGATTAAGCTTTACACAGTAAATACCGAGTGCAGGGGGGATTCTTCTACATCAATAAATCACCCTCTTTAAAAGCAGATAAGAACGTGATTCTCAAAAAAAAAAAAAAAAAAAAAAAAAAAAATTGCATTTACTCCATACACTAAATCACTCTGAAAGGTACACTGATAGCTAGAGGCGATACATGAAGTGTTAACTCATTTATTTGAAATTTTGTCTGGTTGGACCAGTTTAATACTTGCACTGATATTTTCAGTTGACTACATTTCAGTTTAATACATGCATGAAATTCAATTGAGAAACTGCAGAAAAGCAGCATGGTAAAATGGTATCTTCAGTGATTACAAGTAAGGACAAATGAAGCATAGGATAAAAAGGAAAAATCTGGAATAATTGCAAATAGCGAGGATATTTAAAATATCTCTACCTGCCTTCAAAGAATGTCATCGAAGACCGAAGATAGCAAACACGTACCCAACTAATAAAAAATATCATTCCAAGAAATATATGAATGAGGGGAGTGAATATACTTTCGAAATCAGTGGTTCACAGTAACACAAATACACACACATATAGATATCTATGTAAAAAATGAATAATTTTTTAAGCAGTTGCGTGGACTGGCTTTATTTCAGCATTTGCACTCCTAATGGTCAGAAATAGTGGTCATTTTATTACGGAGGTACCTAACAAGCGGCCACCATCTCCTCCTATGAAGGGAAGACAGACAGTTACAGCTATGCCGTCTCTAGGATTCGAACCCAAGCACCTCTGGTTTCATAATCGGCTCCCCTACCCATTATACCGCCCGGGCGGGTAAATGAATAAAGTAAAACACGGATTGCTTCGTTTGTTTTTCTCAGATTATTTTTAAATTTTGAACTTTAATTTGTGTCGTTACTGATTCAGAAACACACTGTTTTATTTCTTTCTTTCTTTTGTTACACCAAACTCCTGATGACGATGCAGCGAAGGACGAAAAGCTCATATTTCATTTTTGGTTTTGGCATTTCTTGCAGTTTCTTCTATTTCTTGTTTTCTTCTATTTCTTGCAGTTTGCCGCTGTGCTTCTCTTTTTTAATTTTTTCATAGATTGATTCGGAAATCCCATTAAATATGGGATGAATTTCAAACGTATCTTTTATTTTATTTTACATGATATATATTACCCTGAAGAGTCAGTAATGGGCTAATCTACCATTTACCGCTTTTTTGTTTTTGTATTTTGCACACTTATGTCACATTTATGGAGTCTTATGTCACACTTTTATTCTAAAGTTTGCCTTACTTTGATCAACTTATTACTTACAATTAGATTTGAATTTCATTTGTAAATATTCTAGTGATAATATTGTTTATTTAACGTTTACACTTTTCATTGCTCTTTATTTTACTTATGTTAAAATTTGTCACTGCAGCCACAGTATCTAAGCTACTTTTTAGCGTAAGCACTAAGAATTTTCTCTTAACATTATATATATATATATATATATATATAAAATAATAATAATAATAATAATAATAATAATAATAATAATTATAATAAGAAAACTTTCCACATACCATCTCCAAGGAATACAAATTCGATTTAAAAAACTATTTAAATTTAATTCAAAAAATTATTTTAGCAGATTTTTATGTTTTCAAGCAAGGAGTTCTTGAAAATACTAATTTTAAATACTAATTAAAATTCTGACTAAAACGTTTTTTTCATTCACGCTTTTAAATTTAATTTGTATTCCTTGTAGATGGTACATGGAAAATTTTCTAATTATAAATTATTATGAATTATTGGTTGGTTTATTACTTTGTAGCTTTAGCGCAAGTCATAGGCGATTTAATTTACTTTTAATTACTTTTATTTTAAATTTATGTATATATGTAAGACACAAAATATGAAAACAAACTTCTAATTTTAATTGTTTAACCTCTTTTAGTTTTATTTAATTTGGGGGATCTCCGGCTAAAAATAGCGTATTATGTCTAAACTGCGTCATTTAAATTAATTATTGGATCTTACGTAATCCTTAACGTAGATATCTCTTGCCCAATCAAAATAATTGTGAACCACTTTTGACTTCCTCCCTTCTTCCTCTGCATTACTGGCCCACCAACGGCCGAGCGGTAAAGTCGCTGAACACTGGTAATTCGGTCCGAGGTTCGAATCCCGCGAACGGGCTGGCTGCATGGGTATTTTCGTGGTTTTCCCCATGTGTAACGTGTATACGAACCAGTTTCCCTTAGAAAGTCCTCCACGAAGGCATCCCTCCCCTTAGGCAGATAGCCCTAGTGTGCTTTGCCATAATTGAATACACCACTACACCACCTCTGCATTACTACGGTGACACTCTCTCTCTTCTCGCTCACACTTTCATCCTGTTAAAACGCTGCAGCAATCTTCTATGTTCGCTTCTATCGCAATGGTATCAAAATTGTAAATGTTCTGGAAATAGGCACAGTTGGAGTGCCTAGTGAATTGAGGCCACAAATGAAAATTTAAATAAATAAAAAATTTAATCCGGCTCGACTGTTTCTTCTTCAAAATGGATGGACATGCCATGCATCAAGTATATTTGCAATCAGCCTTTCTACGCATCTACATCTCAATGTTCTTCAATCAGTGCTTCCAAATTTGTGCTATCGTTACATGTACGTATATATACAGATATATATATGTATCCATACATTCATGCTTTATAGATATCCCTGTTGGGAATTAAATAGTAAACGATTGTGATGCAGTAAAATCTAACATGCTAATAAACGGTGTAAATAGTCACCTAATTCCTTTATATCCTGGTGCACAATAGCAAGTTCCATTCAAAATATCGCATACGCCTTCATTCTGGCATAAACATTTTTCAGTACAGTTTGGCCCATAAAAGCCCTTCTCGCATGGTAAATCACAGCGTATACCTCGCCAGCCTAGAATCGAAAACATAAATTAGAATATAAGCAAAATTCTGTACTTTATGATCTTTCGAGTAGATTCACTATATATCTCTTTCTTCAGACGCTATATAGTACCCTTTTCAATAATATTATATTTATATGCATTTGGTAACATTTCGGAGTTTATTCATTAAAATACATATTTACTTAATAATTCACGAGGTGAAAGTTCTCCAAACTCCAATAAAACTCTCTTGCTCCAAAAAATACTCCAAAACTTAACTTTCATCCTAAATATGGCCTATTTTGATTAAAATTAAATTATGGTTTCGTTCCTGAATTGAAAATGGATATCTTATTTCAGTCGCATTTCCGCTTTCTTAAGCGTACGAATTACATCCATTTTTGTTTTTACGCGGTAGATGTGATAAAAGAATACATAGTTACTTGGAACAAAGTTACTCAAAAATAATGTTCTGACAAAAATAATCTTTTTAGAACTTTACTGAGGAGAATTTCTCTAAACGTTATTTATGCGATTTTTAAGAAAGAGGTATTGAGAGATATTTATTTACATACTTTAAGAAAAGAAAAGTGAATTCATAAGATATGAGTCTCAATCCAACCGTAATTGAAATGATTGTCAATGGCTACTATGCTGTGGAAATAGCATTGGTACTGCATCGATGGTTGCAAGCTACGAACATTTTATTTCATAGTTGGTTTTTAATATAAAAATTTGAGGAAATCTTTTCTAACTGAAAATCTTCATTTATTCATTCTTAAAATTAAGATTAGAACTATATGTTAGATTTAAAAAGATCTTGAATTATTTTTTGGACCATAAACATTTTACATTTTTATTATGCAAATAAAACATTATTCAAGTATGTTACATCTAATGCTGTTTAGTATAAAATTAAATTTTCTTTTTAAACTAAAAAATTCGGAATATGTACTTTATAAATAGCATCATCTAAAACATGCAAGTAAAACTGTATAAATCTGTTTTATCCGTATATTTAATCGCTTAAAAGCCATATAAAAAGAAGACTTGGTATATGACCATTTTAGCATTTAATTTTTAGTGTAATTTTAATAGTTCATTTTTAATACTTTTCATTTTTGAAGCTTCGTAAATTCAGCCATTTACATTATTACTTACCTGCATTGCACAAACATATACCACTGATCGGAACACACACTGCTCCATTACGGCACTCGCAGGTATTCGAACAATTAAGACCCCAAGTACCATTCTCGCAAGTTGCATTGCATCTATCGTAGAATTAAAGAATACTAAAATAAAATATTATATTATATTAGGCACTTTTACTAAAGAAATTTTCTCGACTAGTTTAGTCTAGAAATTTAAGGTTTATATTTATACATATATACTGCGGCCATTCTCAAAAGACCAGTTGCATATTAAGATAATACATTCATTTAAAAAATTAAATGAAAATTGTAATTAATCATTGATAATAAGTGTAATTATTAATCAGAAGTTGCTCTAATTATTAATATAAATCTTATATATATATAATGCTATAAATAATATTGGCAAATCGGGAAAATTTGAGAAAAATTATACATTGCGTGTGATCATCGGGATTATTTAAACGGAAATTCTAAATTTCTACATGTAATCAAAGTACTATATTTTTTTAATTGCAGTTAGGCTACCGTATTGACGTATAGTAATGAAATATGAAGATGATTTCATGGCCTGGACAGGAAGTATGTCTGGAGCAGCACATTTTTGTGGCACGAGCGGCACATTTTTGGGGCACGAGCGGCACATTTTTGGAGATGTGACTTATTAGCGACAAAAATATAGCATGTAGCAACAAAAATACCATTTTATAATGTTAAAATTAGAATTTTACTCCTATAATGCACAGAGTGTTTTGATTTATGTATATATACGCCATTTTGAGTTTGTATAAATTCTAAGCAACAAACTCAAAACTGCCCCTGTTGGGAAAAGGTCTGGCTACAGATGTGGTGCGCCAGCAGTGTAAAAGAGGATACAGTTAAAAAAATGCGAAATTAATTCGATGCTATGAGAATAGGCGTACTGTGAATATATTTTAATTGCTAATAATTTATTTGCATTAAAATTACAAGCAACAAAATTAGGTTTCAAACTGTAAGGAAAAACACTAAATGCAAATTATAATTAAATTCCAAACATAAGGGGTAAAATGTATGAACATAGGGTGTTAGAAAGTAAGCAAATGAAACTAACTATGCTTTAATTATAAAAATTTAACGAATATGCAAAGGTCTGTGAAAAATATGCTAAAGCAAAAGCAAATAAACCTAGTTGGATACCACTGATTTATGGCCGCAGGTATTTGAATAGTCATATAGTCTAAATATCAGTTTCCCAGCACGTTAAATTTTAAAAAGTAAAGTATTTTGGTAAATAGAAACTACTACTCTTCGGCTTAAAGCATGTTGTTGCAACAATAGTGGCAATGCTCTCTCTTAAAAACAAAACACGTTAAGGTGAATTTGAAGCAGCTTCCGGACATAGTTATTCAAAACTCCGATTTTATTCTTAATGACATTGAGATCATTTTAAGAAGTTTGTAAAAACGCTTAAGATGTTTATAATTTTTTATCTTCTAGTCTGGATTAAATATGCATATTTTTTTGCTAATTATCAGGTATGTATTTACACTTGTTTTTTTCTTCTAATACATTACAATTTTATGTGTACTTACGTTGTTCCTCGATAACCAGCTGTGCATTTGCAAAAGCCATCTCTATGATCGCAGAAGCCACCGTTCGAACATTTGCACACTTTAGTACAGTTCTTTCCATATTTACCATATTCACAAGGCAGTTCACATTTCTCACCTCTCCAGCCTATGATAAAGAATTTTGAGTCAACATAATAGATAAAATGCATGTTTATCAGCAACCTGAGAAATCTGGTATTCTGTACAGATACTGAAATTTAACACAATGCTGACATTAAACAAAAAAAAAAGGATTTTGTAGAGATTTAAGAAACGTCTTCGTTGTGTTTGCATTTTACAAAATTATCCAACGTCGCTTAGATTTAAAATGTAATTACGGCATCTTAGAAGACTAACTTGACAGAGGAACAAACTGACAACTCTGAAAACAGCCCTGTATTCAATAATTTGAACCATTTAGTAAAGACTAATGTAATTCCTATACAGTATTAGTTTTATTAATAACAAATAATAGTGTTAAAATATCTAACAATATACACTACTGGCCATTAAAAATGCTACACCAAGAAATAAACCGCCGTTCGTCATTAAATTTTCGTAATAAATAGAGCAAGGTAAGGTACATATATATTTGGTCATCCTGTATAACCAATTCGGCTTATCAGTTGAACCAAAGGTTGGAGGAAGACAACCTAAACTGCCTGCATCAACTAAAAGGGGGTAATAATTTTATCTAGTTTTTAATCTTAATGTAAGTGTTGGATTTTAACAAAGTTTTTCAATAATAAATAAAACTGACAAAGAATATTCGACATACTAATTCAGAAGTCAAACAACAAAAATCAGCGTTATAAACTTCCAGATTAAAAATATCTGAAAATGCGTAGAAACGTCTTAGATAATTCTTCCAGCATTTCTTTTGATAAATGTAGTTACCTGATGTGCAATCACAGTATCCTGTAGACGTCAAACAATTTGCTCCGTTTTTGCATTCACATTCATTTGAACAGTTATAACCCCAAGTACCACTTGGACAACTCTCCTCACATCTGTGAAAAGATTAAAATTAAAAGTTATCTATGATCATAAATGAGCAAATTCTAGGTATTTATACGTTAGTGCAAAGAGAAACTTTTCGTTTGTATTTACCATTAGGATCTTTTCTGCAGACATTTTTGCACTAAAATATTTAATTGAGAAATTTTCAACATGAGTTTTTTTTATACAACTAGCTTAAAAATAATGCATTCGCTACATAAGTGTTAAAGAAAATTTTTGAATATCTGTAACATTAACAAATATTTCATATATTCTATCTTACACAGCAAAAAAATTATGTGTAAGAAGAAGACAGAATTAAGAAGAAATTTCTATAGATTGTCAACAGACTCGCATAAAGTTAATTTGCGATGATACTGTTTACAGACATAAATATTTTTTATGCTGTTGTTGTGTTGTGACTTATTTCATTTTTCTGACAATAACATCAGAACAAGTCTACGAAATTCACATTGGCAAGGAGTCCAAGATTGCGCTTGTCATTGGCAAGATTTCTGAGTACCATACAGGCAAGAGATACAGGTGACAGTAGGACTTTGCTCAGTTCAACCCTCAGTTTTGGGAGCACTCCAGAGGGTCGACGGTCTCCCACCCCTCTTCCCCTACCACCAACTTCTCGAGAGAACGTTCAGCTGGCCGCATATTTAGAGTGTCCCCATGCCGCACAAACAGTTACATATTTACAAAACGCATCCGTGCCTTTTTACGGTTTCGAACCCGGTCCCTTCCGTACACAGCGAAAAGCTTCACTAACCACTATCTCGATAAGGCGGCATTATTTTTTATTCCTAATACCATCACTAATCATAATCTATGTGCACGTACTTAATATCCTATGAGAAATTATGTATTTTAAAGAAGTTTGGTAAATGTTTGATAAAAATATAACACATTTTCTACGTTTTCCAGTTCATTCACTCAAAAAGAAATGATTATATTTTACTCCTTCCTTTGTATAGAAAAACGTGACGTTGACCTAGAGAATTTAAGAATCGAATATTAGTAGTATTTCTCATATGGTCATGAGTCGTCGTAACTTCAGCCATAAAAATACCGTGCTTACAAATTAAGTAAGAAGAGCCTTTCCCGTTGAAAAAAACATAGACAAATTCATGAGGCATTCGGGATTTATGATGAGGAGAAGATGAATATACGAAGAGTCTGCAGTGAGGCTATTTCCAGGAGTTATGTGACTGGTGCTGCTTTCCTGTGCGTCAAGGTTTCTTTGTTTCTTTGTAAACAGCATATAATACCATTCTGTCCGATCGGGGTTGCATCCACGATTGATTACTTTAAAAGATATTTGTTTGCCTATTGAAATACCTTGCATAATTTAAATCTGTATTGAACCATAGATTGTTTAGCTTACATGAACACGAAAGATGTATAGTGTGGGAAAATTAAACTCAACCGCAAATTAAGCACTTTGATTTGTTGTCAGTTATTATACTTTCTCAAAAGTTATTCATCCCAGAATCATTGAACAATCAGTGAATATTCACAGACTTTGATAACTTTGGTTCCATTCTCTATTATTTAGATTATGTATAATTTATGTTATAATATATAATAATATATAATAAGATGAAGAATATTTTATGTTTCAGTAATGGCGATGTATATGACGATATTTATGAAGATTTTAAAAGCGACGAGGAAGAAAGAGATCAAGCTAGAGAATATGTCTACTATGCAGGTATATCATGAAGTGAAAAAACGCAACGGTAAGAATTGTTATATTACTGAAATAACCAATTCTTTTATCTGAACAGATTGAACAACCAGACAAACAAATAAATTATATTCCTCATTATCGTAAATATAATGGACTTCCGAAACTATGCAACTTAAAATGTTATTGCAAGAAGGTAGCGACAAAAGTTTAGGAAATATATGCATAAATTTCTAATTGCCTATGCATTACATACTTATCGTTTTATCTGATTAAGAATTAGCGTTTATTGGTTAAGAAATATAATTACTGTCTTAAATTTTGATAACTAAAATTTTACTATTCTGAATATTGATAAATACGTGTGACTTTTCATTATTATTTATATGTGTTTCAAACTACCGTATGCCGTATAATGGGAACCAAGTGAGTGTTCACCTTTACCTCTCAAATGCATTTTTATAATATTACTTTCATCACATTAATATTTAATTTAATGTATTTTAAATGCTATCACCCTCTTAAAGGTAACAGCCTCATTTATTTCATTCCCAGCACTGCTGTGTAAAGGAATTCCGAAAATGCAAATATCTCCTTTGCTATTGCCAATAACTACAATTTGCTTTCCGATGCATTTATCAAATATTTTCATTTTTTGTGTGTTGTTTCAATTTCAAAGATGATAGACTATCCTGCGGAAAGGTTCGCATAATATTGCAAGAAACAACCGGAAAGACAAAACTCAGTTGTGCAGCAATAATTTCTGGTAGAGTATTATTCTAGATTTATGCTTCTTGTATATAAAATGTAAAAAGTAGTAATAATAATAATAATATTAAAACAAACATTCCTTATAAATTTCGGCCAAAGGCGGCTTTTTCAAAGGTGATGAAATTCATAAAGGAATTCAGCTCCATATGTTCTCATATATATTTAAATATTTTAATATAATCCGATACCCGCAACTTTGTTTTAATACCATTTTTGAAAAGATGCATTTCATCAGATTATTTTATGAAATGTGGTCTGTTTCGTTTATATAATATTTAAGAGTGGAGTATGAGAAATATCTCTTCGGTCCATAATTTATAGTACTTTATACACCTAACTAATAAATTAAAGTTTCGTTTAGTTTAGTTTATTAGATTACGCCAAAGCACTCGAAGGCTATCTGCCTTAAGGAAGGAATGCCTTCGTGGAGGACTTTTTAAGGGAAATTGGCTCGTATACACGTTACACATGGGGAAAGCCACGAAAACACCCATGCAGCCAGCCCGTTTGCGGGATTCGAACCTCAGACCGAACTACCAGTGTTCAGTGACGCTAATAAATTAAAACTGATATTTAAATACAAAAATTTATAACCTGTATTGTATTTGTAGAGACAATAGGATTTTTGGGGGCAGGAAAGCAGAAGAGATGAAAAATTAGCAGCGCCTTTGCTGGGAATCGAACCACAGACCTCTGAAATACCGGCTCAGTGTGCTGACCACTACACCACGAAGGCACGCTAGGAAGGAGGTTGAAATACCTTACATATTAATTAATATATCACATAAATATGCTAATAAAATAACACTGAAGGTAATTTAGAAACAGAGATTTTTAGAATGCAGAGCTAAATTTTTTTATTATATGCGGCTGAAGTGTTTCTTTGTCGCTGATAGTTTATTGGTTGCTTGCGTAACTGTACTAGCCAATGGGGTAAAGTTGCCATGGCATTCAAATAGTCAATATACACTTATACCATACATGCAATTATCATTGTTTTAATTAAATTATCATAGTATTTAAGAACATTTAAATATTTTTCATTCATACAATTGTTGCTTATTATGCATTTAACTATATTTACATATGAATTACCTAGAAACTTGCAAACGTTGAGAAATTAAAGGAGACGAAACAATTAACGATTTGTGCGTAGTACATCTCATCAGGTAAGTGTACCCAAACTCCTATGCTAAATATCTTTTCGCGTAAAGATTTTAAAATTTTGCCCGATTTTATTCTGAAATCATCTTTATTTGTTGAGCTAGCGGTGGCTCTTAAGAAATGTACCGCCAGTGGCTTCCTTCATTGCACTCTACTTTAAGCAATTAAGCAAGTAGAAAGGGAAAACCCCGTGGGGCAGTAAGCAAAGGGGCGTCCACGCCGACTGCCCTGGGTAATTTAGTTTGAATTAGCAAACACCTTTGTGCAACTCATTTTAATTACAATTTATAATATCTAAAACAGCGGTCATTTCGTATGACCGCCAGGCTTTCTAGTTACATCATAAAAGAGAAAAATTAATTTTTCAGTTATAATATGCTATCTAAATTAAGAACAGTATTATTTTGAGGATATTATTATCTTAAACTGCAGTTCTGTGTGAACTCCTGAATACAATGCACCTCCTGTAAACTTAGCTTCTGAATAGATTTAAGTAAACAACTTCAATACGGTAAATATTAAGTCTTTCAACCGGCATCATGATTACGTAAAATGTATGTATGTAAAATGTATGGTTTTAGTTTGAAAATACAGGATTATTCACAAGTCCATGAAACATTTATAAATTCATAAAAGTAAAATTCTCAATCAATATCATATTTTAATTTCTTAATAGTCCATTCTAGGTAAATTTGGTTAATTCTTCGTAAATATTTCACAAACGCTTAGTGTGTCTATTTCTGCCTAATTAGCAAAAATAGACGCATTGAGCATTACCACATAGCAGGTATTTCTCCGTAATCGGAAAGATTTGTTTGGTCATATTGAAAAAACTTTTTATGAAAACAGTTATGATTACCTCTTTGAATAATGCAGTAATCCAGAGATGCATTATCACAGAGAAAATTATAGAGAGTGTTTGATATATATATATATTATATGATCTATATATATATAATATGATCTATATATATATAATTATATATTACTTCTATATATATATATAATAATATATAATTTGATCTATATATAGTAATTATAGAGATATTCTAATATAAACAGAATCTATCATACAGATCATGGACAAGGTGAGGAAATGACGGGTTAATGCAATGACCATTCCCGTATTCCGGTTTAATAATATGTGATTTTTCTAACGGAATTTGTGCCTCACTTTCCTGCTTGTCTTTGGAATTTCCTCAGTCATAACCATCGATACTGTGGCTGACCTTAATGATGATTAAGTCGCACATCTGTGAAATGAATCGCATTATGGCAGTTTACCGTATTAGTAAAAGTAAACATAACGAACATTTGAAAAATAGGTAAAAATATATTATGTTTACTTCTATTTCAGTACAATAAAATTTCGTTAATATTTTGAGGATTACATAATTCAGATCTATATTACTGATTAAAATTAATCGGAAAGAATAGTTATATCAGATTTTTTTGTTTTTAAAGTACTATATCATGAGGTTTGTCTTTTAAAACTCAGCCAAAAAAAATATAAGAAAAAGGAAAAATAATATGAGGTATGCAAGAAAATCTCTCTAAAGTTAAGAGTTTAAAAAAGGTTTTCATAATCTTATATGTTAAAAGTACGAATATATGCAAAACAGCCCTTTGAAATTTAGAACAAATGTTTTCAGAAGTAGTGCGTTATGCCGCCGGAAACATAATGAACGAGTGAGCGAAGGCGATTTTGAATTTGAAAATAGAAATTCGTTGAATGATTTTAATGATATCATTGTTTGCTTTAATGAAACTGAATATGCGTCTTTATGGAAGCAATTAATAAAGCGCGCACAAATGAATGACATAATTAGAAATTAAATTAAAACTAAGATAAACAGACTAACGTTATAATAGCAATTCAATTCATTCTGAATCCTGTCTAAACAAAATCATGTAAACAGAAGAACGCATGTGGCTTTTCTTATCATTTTAAGGTATCCAGCTACGTTCTACACCCAAATTTTGGAAAATAATACGAATAAATATATTACTGGTGTGATTTGGCAGAATACTACTTTAAATGAGAGAAACAGGTGATAGACATATTATCAAAGCATAATGTTTGATTTTTCCTTATATTTTGGCTTAAAATGTGTAAAATTTAAGGAATGTTAGACATGTTCCACAAAACTATTTATTAATATATTACTCTTTTACTTTTGTTACTTATATTTATTAAGGTATAACGAATTACATGGACTAAAATCTAAGGCATAAGATGAAATTCCTATTAAATATACCTGTTTGAATATATGCACTAGCTCCTTTTCGAGAAATTTCTACCTTTTCATTTAAAAAATTATCTGAAAACAAATTGCAGATAAGTACATAAACCTAAACGGTTAGTCCATTTAATTCACTATATTTCATAGAGTATTTATGGAAAGTTTTATAAAGTGAGTATAGTAATTCATTTTTAGTAACAATTATTTTAGTAAAATAATTTTTAGTAAGAGAAAAGTTAACAAAATCAAATTTTTCAAAAAAATAGGTTTAATATAAACACAAACCTAAGTAAAATAAGAGGTTTGCAAATTTAACTAGGCAAACACAAACCTAAGAAAAAGAAGATGTTGCCAAGAAATGAAAATTAAATTGTAAAATTAATCATATTCCAGAATACATAATAACAAATAGAAAGTTATAAAATCATCTTTTAAACATCAACCCCCTAAAAAAAAGTATCAGTTTAAAAGCTATTTAGAATAGTCTGCGTACCTTTAGACATCAACTACGGGGTTAAACAAAAACTTCTGGTTCACTAACGTAAACCAAGAACTGCCAGAATTCTGCTTGCTTCTAAAGGCCAACGAGTCAAAATAGAAGTAGTTTTGAAAAGAGTAATATATCTACTTTAAAATAAAGTAATAACATTTTTGAAAAATTTCATCAAAATTTACGATTAGAACGTAGTCGAATGCCTTAACTTAAGACATTGAGATCATATTTCATGGTTTCATAAACCATCAAGTGCTTTTAGTATAACTGCATTCTCAATTGATATCAAACCTACTTAGAGATTTCTAGAAAGACTATATTAAGTTGTAATAAGGTACCCCAAACAAAGCAAATTTATTTAAATGGACGTTTAAGAGCTGAACTAATTTAAAGAAACTTTTCTTGAGATTGATTAACATTTCATGTTATAAATACTAAAGCAAAGTTTATCGTCTTTGATCAGCAGGTAAATTTAAGACTTTCTGTTATGAAACATACAAGAAGAAAAAGAACACTAAAAAATCAAGATTTCTTGGCTAATACATTTCTTCGCATAGCTTTTCAAAAGACAGTTTCAGTTTTGAACATTAAAAGTGCTATATTCATGCTTTGCCTTTTATAAATATCTTTTGAATTAAACAATAAACGTGCACTTCGCACACACACACACACACACACAAACAGAAAAAAAAAGGGGGGGTCAGTTCTTTATCTCCCGTTCTAATTGGCCGTTTGACGAACTTGCATTTTTCATTTTCTGAAAGCGAGTCTGACGACATATATTAGATATATATATATAGCATTGTTATAGAACATACATTTTTACAAAACAAATCGGACTTTTTATGATATGAAAAGACGATTTGTTTCCATATTTCGGATCTACGACTCAAATTACGCCCAAATGTTAAATTTTATAAAATTTGGTGAGAAACTTACCAAGAAATTTAAACATTTATCTTGGTGCACATTTTACAAGAATAATTCAATTGGCGCCTCCCAGATGGTATAGTGGTTAGGAAAGCCTATTGCGATACCAAAGGATTCAGGTTTGAGTCTCGGAGAAGGTATGGCTATAATTTTCTGTCCCTTCGTAGGAACTTCCGTGGGCCACCTATTAGATGCTTCCACAATAACGTGGCCAAGCCTAAGTCGACTAAGTGCCCGCCAATGGAAAAAAAAATCACTTGGCAAAATTCTTAATTTGTTTCAACCATTTTTCTTTGTGCACCAGAGGAAAAAAAAAGGTGCATCCTTCACACTTTCAAATAATTCTAACAAAGTGTGTAAACCGCATCTGGCGTTATTATCGCTTATAATAAATATACCAAATTTCAAAACGCGCCAATATATAAATTCACGCATATCTTTGTAAATGTTGAATAAAAAATTATATTTTTTGCAGGTACGCCTAGAAATATATCTACTTTAAGATGACGGTAAAAATTTGATAGAGAATAATTCAAAATGTTTTTTTGAAAAATTTATAAAAATTATTGAAAAATATAAATTTTAACAACGACATATCAGAAAATAGCTATGAATTTTATTTGGATTGAACCTAAATTTCGAACTATGAAAGAAAGAGTCAAGTAAGATTAATAAAAAAGATATATTAATAATCATACACCAAATTCAATTAACATGGAGGAGCTACAATTTTTAGAGCTAATATTTTAAAAACTACTCGTGCGAGTTTTACAAAACTTGGCACTTTGGCTTAATCGTAGATTCTTAATCTGGAAAAAAATCGGTATGTCGTTTCAGAAAAAGTCCGATTTTGTGTTAAAATATTAGAACAATGCTGTATATAAATCTAAAATATATCCTAAGTCGCGCTTTCGAGACAAAAAAAAAAAAAAAAAAAAAAAAAAAAATTCAAGTTAAATTACGTCAATCAGCTCAGTAGAACAGTAATATAGAAAAGTCCCCCCCTTTTTTTTCAATGCAAACTGTACATGTACTAGTTTTATTGGAAGCAATGCTAAATAGAAATATAAAATAAATTCTCGTCATCAATAAATACTGAATTATCTACGCAGATACTGGCATATTTTATGAAATGATGCGCTCTTTGAATATATCTTTATTGAGCCAAGCGAACCAAAAGCTTAGAACCAGAGTGGATATCCATAATTTTTTTTTTTTTTTTAAATTTTGCTTCCCGTTTATATTCGCTTAAACAAGATTCATATTAATTGTATTGCGTTGAAACTTACTTAATATTAACGTTCGCAGTTTTAATACGAATCCAAAGTAAAAATTGATCTATAATTATCTCAAGCATGTTTTACCTCAAAATATTAAAAGAGCTGTTTTGCAGGTAGAAGAGTTAAAGAACACCTGGGCGCCTATAATTTAAAATACATTTCTAAGTCAAACACAGAGGGTATGCCTATTTTTCAAATGACCAACATAAAATTCCCAAATGCAATTTAATACAATTTCACTAAATATTTTAAATAGCTATTTTCTGAGCGAAACATATTACTTTGATGCTTCTATATAATTAAATATATGGACAACTCGAATTTTAAAAGTCTGCGTGAGGTTACATTTAGCAGAAGAATTAAACATCTTACACGTTTATGCGCATTAATGATATTCGAAAAAGAAATATGTATAATGCAATGCTTATTGAATAAGTGTTTAATTCTGGTTTTAAAACTGATCTTCAAGAAACTGTACAACATTTCTAATACGTTGGCAAAAACAATCGTCACCGTTTTTGAAACGTATTAAAAAGTAATTTATCTGTGACAAACGATTCTTAAATGTTACTATATATGCTCTCTTACGTCAGTCCTCTGTATCCAGCTGTACAGTTACAAGAGCCATCTACATTGCTGCATACTCCATGTTTGCATGCACATCTTTCTTGGCAGTTTTTACCGTAGGTACCATTTTTGCACGGAAGATCGCAGATATTACCTCTCCATCCTTTAAAAAAGCAACAGTTTTGCAAACATGTTAGTAAAATCACAGAGTAAAATATTGACAACGAATAACAATAGTTCAACTATTATTTACTTTCTATTTAATTATTTTTCTTTCATTAATAATGTGTCTTATTTATGAAGATTTTTTTAGGTTTTCATGAAAAATTTTATAAATGCTATATTTTTAGTTTCGTTGCCCAGAATAAATATGACTGAACACACTACGCGGAATTTTAACATTAAAATTCAGTGATGAGAATTACATTTAAAGTATGACGAATCAGCTTTGCAAAATAAATCTAAAGGCACTTTATTGACTAAACATAAACATTACAATATTTTGTGCATCGTGAGGGGACAAAAGAACAAAATTGAGGCAGCTTTGCAACATTTGTTCCATTTTTTTTTTTTTTTGTTCGTAAACGTTTGCACTTACGAATTAATTAAAAAGAAAGGAAGCATAATTCGGTTAAACGTAATTCGTTAACGTTTGCACTTACCGAATTAATTAAAAAAGAAAGGAAGCATAATTCAGCTAAACGTTAAACAATCATGTTAGAAGATGAATGATTTTTAAAGACATTTCAGCAAAAGAATATGCTAAATTTTATGAAACTGCAGTAAGAGTTTCTTTTTTTCGGCTCCTAATAACATGCACATTCTTATTTAATTTTTTTTTATCCTATAACAATTAACACTTCAAATCTAGTAATGTTTTTTCTTATATGAAAAACAAAGTTTGATAAAGAAGGTATTTCAAGAAGGTAGGCCAAATTTAGCAGCGGCGCTAAGAATTAAATTTTGAATTTGGATCCTAACTTTGTACAATAAATAAATTTTACTCTGCAAGGAAGCTGAAATTTTAGAGTTTGGGTGGTTTTCTTAACACCTCGGTAACCAAATATACATAACAGAGATTTTTAATAATTTATTCACTTTTTAGCAAAGAAATTCTTGCAACAGATTTTACTTAAGAAAAAATCATCTTTCTTGCTCACTTTATTCATATTAGATCATATTAGACTTTATATGCATTTAAAGTTAATAATTCTATCAGCGTTTGGGATCATCTAAATGTTAAAAAGTAAGATTTTATGTATTGATCAGTTTTGTGTAGATAAGCAACGTTACAATTTAATTGGAACATAAATGCTTCAGGGTATATTGCTATTGCAGCCAATTAAAATCATTATTCATTATTTAAAATGTTCTCCAAAAAAGCTTACCTGGTGAACATTCGCAGTATCCCGTCGATGAAATGCATTTTGCTCCATTTCTGCATGTGCACATATTGGAACAATTATAGCCCCAAGTTCCATTCCGACAAATTTTATTGCAACTGAAAGAGAATCGCAATTTAATATTTCGCATTAAAACATATCCTCTTTTGGATAATTAATTTTAAACTACGGTTATTAAATTTGAGAAATTTTGTAAGGGTAACCTTAATTATTTTCGAATGATTTTATAAATTTTGATAACAGGTTTTAACAAAAATTACGCATTTTGGTTGGCATTTATTTAGAAAATTTTACAAAAGAAGATAATTTTTATGTGAAGCATAAAAGTCTTCCTGCAAATGTTTATGAGTTTCAATATATACCTAAACTGTCTGAAGTAAAACAATTTGGTTTCTATAATAACTTCTCACATCGCTTTAAACAGTTTGAATTGTGGGAATATATTAACAAATCATTAATCTTGATAAACGAGAATGGCGAGCTCAAAACGTGAAGAAATTGAGAAAAAATGTAATTGTGGCAGCCATTTTAGGCCCAAAAATCAACTTCTTTGCTCAAAATGGTCGGAAGAAGGTTTAGCTGTTTTTGCACCAGCAGCAAGAATTCCTCTGTCCTTGATGATGTCACTTTTTTACATTTCTTCCGGAGAAGGCGAACTGAGGCCCTTGAGCGGCCAAATTTCATTATCGAAAGTTACAGTCACGTGACGTTCGTTTTCGCGTACTTTCTGAGTACAATAAAACTCTGAAAAATCAAAACTGAATAAAGAAGAAAAATATTTCAGCAATCTAATTTACTGGTTAGTTAATGATATTTGGATATATAAGAATCGTGATTAAAATGAAGATGTTTAATTTTTAATCGCATATTTGCAATAGTAAAATGATACGAATACAGTTCTAATGACACCACGCTAGAAATCTCATGGTACTGCTATACAACTACTTGACTTATGTTCTATCCAAAGTGATAATAAAAGTTATTTTATTATCACTTTTCTCAATATGTCTTTTTTTCGTAAAAACTAACGTAAAAAGTTTTACAAAAAAAAAAAAATTACTTTAAAACATTATATTTTTTAAAATTTGTAAAGACATGTTACGAGACAAGTGAATATAAAATAAAATGCAAACCAAAGATGAGAAAATTGACGCCAATATATATATATATAAACTCAGGGCGTTCCTCGCCTCCCAGTAGCTCTCCCAAATCGAAATACGAGGGAGGGCAGGACATTTGCGGAGATGTGATAAGTCCATATCTTAAGATTACATAACGGGCAAAGAGAGTCAGGAGCAACGCTGATGCGCTGGACGTGCTTACGAAGATAGTCATGACCAGATATAACATGGAACAATGCACAGTTCTTTCTAGGCCATTTGGGTACATCTCCAGCGCATATCTATTTGTATCTCCAAGTTCATGGAAAAAGGAATCTCAGAGGGCTTTACTAACAATTAAATTAAGGGAGAGTATCGAGTATCGTAATTTACTCCCGGCCTATAGCTACTCAGAGCTTTTACCAGTATATTGAAATTCACAAACGCTTGTTATGTTTTCAAATTAAGGTGTTTAACTAAAGCACCAACGCACAGACGCTAGAATACACATGAGTAGTCATGAAATTTCAATCAAAGTGATGTTAATGTAGTAAAAACTAAGTTTGGCTTCGCCGAATATTTGCAAAGTTTCTAACTTAGAAAGCAAAAGGAAAAATTTAAAAAAAAAAAAAAAAAACTTGATTAAATATCTTCAGTAAATAAAATATATCGTCGTAATGTTTCACAAGTTCGGATGATAATTTACAGTGAATGAATGCCAAAGCTATTTGCATGTAGTAACATAAGATTGCATTTGCGCCAAAACATAAACTAGAATTCTAGATTAATGCTTGAAAAATAATCAATGGCTGCTGTGCTAACTTCTAATTTATACTATCTGATTTTGCTGTTTAAAATTTAGTTAAGAATTCTTTGGCCTTATTTAAATGAATTTTAATCCATCCGAAGAAGGAAAGTTCATTTTCTTTTGATTCATCTTCAGAATTTTTTCGGGACCACGCTGAGGTAGACTCTGAATTATTTTTCTCTCCGTTATTATGGAGTGTAGGACAATCATCGTTGTTGAGATTGAATTTGCTTATTTTCCAAGGATTTTAGGTCTCTCTTTTATTTCTGGCTGCTTCAATATCTTTTTGGATGTTTTCGTGGTGTTGGCTACAACCCTTATATGACGAGACGTGATTTTCAGAGCAAAGGGCACACTTTGCGGGTTTTCCGTTTTCCTTCTTTTGTGGACAGGCGTCGGTTTCGTCGAACTGTGCGCATTTTAGACACCTAGATTTATAACTGCATTTGTCCCGTAAGTGCCCATAGAGCTGGCACTTAAATTAATGGAGTTGTAGGGGAGACCAAGTTGTGAGGTTTGGAGGAACAGAAGCTCCCACTTTACCCAAAAAATCGGAGGCCTTATTACTCTGAACTGCACATTAGGCAGAAAACCATTGAAGTACAAACTCTTTGTCAGTTAGTTGACACCCAGTTAAGGATATCGAAACAGGACAACTGCAGATCGGGAATCACTCTGTAAGCCAACAGCAAGGGCGGCTCTAAAATCTGATAAGACCAGCTTTGAAAATGCCCCATACGAGTATGTAGTTGTAAAAGGTCTCGGTGGATTGCTACAGGTTCATCGTCATGATCATATGGTCCAATGGGTGCGTATAAATAAAATAACTCACAACTGCATCGGCATTAGTGAAATCCTCCGGTCTAGAACCATCAGTATACACTTGCAACCATTCTTCTTTCGGGTAGCAAGAATTTATGTTTCATTTACCAAAGCTTTAAGTAAATTTTCATTAGTGTGAGTTTTAAACACTTTTTGTTCAAATCCGATGCCAGTCCATATGGACTGGCTTAATATTTCCATGATGACATATTAAGCATGAAGATTTAATATGTCCATATAATGAAATAACGTGTCTTTTGTACATAGCCTCCTTAATGGACTGCCTACATTATATCTTGTTATCTGAAAATACAATATTTCAAATGTGAAAATACGATATTTCAAATGTAAAAATTCAATATTTCAAATATAGTGAGTTTAGTTGATATTGTTGTATATTATTATTTAGTTTAAACTATAAACTATTTCTCCCGCCTTCTTAGCGAGCCTTCATGGTGTAGTGGCTTCAGTCGGCGGTAGGCAATAGCATACCACAATAATCATAATGACGTGAGACTGCACAGATGGCACTTTAATGCAGCTTTGCTGCCATGGGCTATGAGAAACGAACTGCTTCTAAAGAGAAAAATGTAGACATGCCAACAAACATACAGCGACATCAGTAGGGATTATCGAAGCTATCGGTACTGCTAGTAGTATGAGGAAATAAGGCGATTTTAGTTGATATTGTTGTATATTATTCTTTAGTTTAAAATATAAGACATTTCTCCCTCCTTCTTAGCGAGTCTTCGTGGTGTAGTGCTCTGCACGCTCAGCGCGTAATTGACAGGTTCGCGATTCGATTCCCGGCGAAGGCGTTGTATATTTTTCATCTTGCCTGCTTCCAAAAAATTGCTGATGTCTCTACAAACGATTCGAACTGGTAATTTTACCGACAAAAACACTGTCATCACATGATGAAATCATACAGCCATTTTTCTGACTCACCCTAGAAACCTAAAATAAAATATGCGTTTTTTTCTACTGATGCCTATCAGACTCATACACGATTGACAGGCAAGGAGTTATATTCGTATGGAATGAGATAAGTCATTCTGAATAACGTTTTAAGCTGTTTAATAAAATGGCAAAATGTACAGCTTTCACTTCTATATATGAATAATTTTCTATAGCAATTTATAAGACCACTCCAGAGATTAAAACTTATTTACATTTTACCATGGTATCCAGCAGAGCAGTTACATGAACCATCCACATGATTACAAAGTCCTCCATTCTCGCACATACATTGTTGACTGCAGTTTTTCCCAAACTTGCTGCTTTCGCAAGGTAAATCGCAGTTCTTGCCTCGCCATCCTGCAATTTTTAAAAATAGTAAATTTTTGTAGTTTTCGCAAATTTAAAAAAAAATTGAAATTTTTGATTGTTTTATTTCATGCAGTTTGTTTCTGACATCCATGCTAATATGGTATATCTGCCATACTTTGGACAGTTCGATTTCAGTTCTTAGTGTTTTGACTATTTAGGAAACATAATTTTAGTGTGTAATTCACTGCTTTGTATTTAATTCACAAATATATCGAGAAAATCTAGAGTGAACTTCATCGAGAAAATCTAGAAGCATTTTTAATCAGTATTACGTAAGACATTGCATGATATGACATGAGATGTCGCGTTAAAAGAATGTTAAAAATTTGAGGCCCTAATTAGATGAATGGGAGTAAGAGTTAAAACGAATTTTCTTTATTTGTAAAACGTTTTAAAAGACAAACATATATATATATATATATATATATATATATTAAGCAATTATTTTATCTTATTGGCAGTGGAAAATAATAGGCAACATATGTCAACATTTTATCAATTTTCCTTTAACATCAGAACTAAAATTGCAGTTACAAGGAAGCATACGATTTTTATCTTCAATATGTTGTTTTTCTCCGAAATAATTACAAATACGTTCTTTGTTTTCAATTTCATTCACTAAGAAGATAAGTTCTTATTTTGTTAAAATTTTATATTTTGTCATTTTTAATTTTCTTTGAAGTCATTCAATAAATGGAACAATATTGTTGATTCTTTTAAACTGTTTGCTTAACGTATTAAAAATTTTAATTTAATAAATTAAAAAAATATACTATACAGCAGCAATAGTCATTCAATTTCATAAACATAAAAAGCAATATTTACCAACTATAAAACTACTGGCATTATCAAAATGTAAAAGAAAAATAATTATGAAATTAATTTCCATTGAAAGTTTTAACAATTATGTGTTGTAAGTTAACAATAAAAATTATTTCTTGACAATTAGAAATTTCATGAAATTAAAAGGAAAAACTAAGCTACGCAATGATTCTATCACTGTAATTCAATATTTACATTTTAAATTTAGAATTCACATGCCTGCTTATTTTAATTAAATTAATTTTTTTACGAGTTTTAATAATATAGTTTGCTTTTATTTTATCTTCCTCTTTTAAGAATTAATTACCGCAATTTTTTAATGCAAAATAAATTCACGTTTTGAAATAATAGAAAAAAATTTAAAACATTGTTTATACTTGGTTCCAATTCTTAAGTAATATTTTGGGTGTAACATACGTTTTTCGAATCAGTTGTTTCATAGCTGAAGGTAATTACAATAAAGTAGTTTTGTTTATTTGATTATGGCAAAACACTCGAGGGCTATCTGTCTAAGTAGAGGGGTGCCTTTGTGGAATACTTTCTAAGGGCAACTGGCTAGTGTGCACGTTACACATGGGAAAAATCACAAAAACACCCATGCAGCCATCTCGTTCGCGGAATCCACATATCGATTACAATTCCAAACTATACTGTCAATTAACAACATCAGAAGTTTCTTGTCTTAACCAAGGATTCAAATGCTTTGAACCTGTGAAATTTTGTGAATTCTGGGTTTTCATAGCTACATCTGGATTCATTTTTCCATTCATGTTTTTTATAGCTACATCTGAATTCCATAAATGCTACCTTTGAGTAGCTGAGTTTGTATCTACTCACATTTCTGCTTTTTTTTGCTAGTGAGTGATTGCATTCGATTGTTTGATCATAACAAAGTACACTAAGAAAATCCGTCTTAGGGAAAGGATGTATTCGTGGATGATATTTTAAGTTTCTTTCTGAGAAGGGAATTCACTTAGCACTCTAGGTCCCAATAGAGGCCGAATAGTTATGACAAATTAATATTAGTAGTTTGGCCCTGCTTTGGAACTCAGGCGAACGGGCTGGCTGCATGGAGGATTTTCGCATGTGCAACGGTAATAAAAGGCAAGTTCGCTTAGAAAGTCCTCCACAAAGGCATAATTTTCCTTTATCTTTTTGTGCTTCATTATGTTCCAGCGTTTCTCAAATATTTCTCGAGCGGCGACCACTTTTAAAAATTAGAGTGTTCTATGGACCGCCTTACTGTTTGTTCCCGTCGAAAGCAAATTTTCAACACCTGCTAGGACGACCATTACACTTAATGTTTTTTAATAATATGAATTTAACTTCATTCAAATCTATACTGGTATTAAGTAATTAAGTTGATAGAAGGCAACTTAAATTTGTTTTGTTAGATGAAGGCTATTAAAATTTGGATAACCTTTATCTTATTAACTAAAAATAATTTAAATATTATGCTCTCATTAATGAGAAGGATAAGCTTGCTAATTCTCGCATGGCTCATCTATGTTTACATGCATGCTAGTAATAAGCACCACAGTTAAATTGCTTTAAATGCGTCTCTTATTGGTAAGATTAGAGTAGGCAGTTCATAGGTTTGTAATATATTTCATAAAATATCAGTCTTGGAAGAAGTTATTTTCAACATAAAAAGATAAAAATACTTTTTTTCGATTATTTTAATTCCGATATGTAAGGTTATACATTTCTTTATTTTTACATTTTGTCTTCTGCGTTTCGTTTGAGATGCAATTTATAATGCCAAAATATTAGAACTCTCTAATAAACAAAATATTTATAAAGGAATGCTAAAAGCATTTTATGACATGAATAATTACTTAGAGTATTTAGTACACTCTAAGTAACCTCCGCATTATAAAAAAAGTCCAGTTACTATGTATTTAAATTAACACCTCTGAAATTTGAATCCCAAACTTTTTATAGAATTCGGCAAAATCTAGCACAAAGAAAGTGAGAAAAAGGATAAATTATGTGCACATTTAAAAAAAAAGCATACTTGAAATAAACTCTGCTAAAAATGATTTTATTTGCTTTGTTTTATATATCTAACATCTAGATTTGTGAAAAGAGATAAAGCAATATACTTTTTTTTTGTAACATATTTTGTAACATAAATTTTAATAGAAATTTGACTAATGTAAATTACACGTTGAATAGGAAAATATTATCTCTCTCTCTCTCGAATCATACGATACAATGAATGGTTTCGATGTCTTACAACTACCGGTTTCTGAATAAGGCTAACTAACACTGAACTGATTTTAAATTCTTCTGTAGAAACGTTTACATTTAGGGATATGAAATTAGCTGCGTAATGTGTTACGCATTATTTAAAATTACAATAATAAATTTCCTGCACTAGCATATTTAGACTCACGGAAACGTTTAAGCAAGAATTAATATTATCTCTAGTGCTGATGATAATACTTACTAATGAAAATTTAAACAAACTTAAGTATTTTGTGTTGACATCTAAGATAAATCTTAGTTTAAAATTTTTAATTATATTTTGAAGCCCAGTTACCATTAGAAGTTAGTTATCATAACTATTTATCATATATGAAGGAAGGAAAGAAATAGTATTTCTCATTCAGTGTTTCATAATGTAGGAAATAACTATTCTTAACATAAATATACATAATACTATTAAAAATTAATCCGCATTCTCGAATATTAAAGTTTATGCATTATTAATACATGTAAGAATATGCATTATATCCAAATCTTTAATTGTGATTCTTTCGTATAATCTGAGCTCCTGTATTTTAATCTGCAGAAGAGAAAATAAAAACACAAGTAGCCGAGACTTGCAAACATTAAGAATTTGTAAATAAATAATTAAGCTGTTAAACTTAAGTAAACTGGTGATAGGTTTCTAGCTATTATAAAGAGTTCAAACGTAAAAACTTGGAGAAAAAGGAAAAAAAAAAATATATGCATATGATTTTTGCTTTTTTACTTCTTAAATGAAAAATAAAGAAGAAGAGTAAGATTAAACCATTTTAACGTCCATAAAATGTAACAAAATATTAATTAAATTTCATACAGTAATCTGATATTTTCCCTTTATTTTCGTTTCAGAAATTAATCATAGAACTTTTCCTTTTTTTAATTAGAAACTTTTTTCTCATAATTAGACTTGAGTGAAAGTAAAATTATTATTCAAAACATGCCGAACTTTAGGTTAAATCGGTCTATTCTTTACAGATTTTATAACTACAAACAAGCTGTAAGATAAATTTTTGAGAGACTTGAAATGTCACAATAATGATAATAAATAAGACATGCATTATGAATATGCATAAAAACAGCTCTTCGCTCGAAACCGCAGATTATAATATCTTGAAAAGCACGAGTACAAACATATATTAGCACACCTTCAGTCATTCTTTATTAAATAATTAATAGATTATAACAATATAAGATATTTTATTTCGCTTTAAGCATATTTCTAATAAAAAGCGCAAAATACCTTGGTCTGTTACAAATACTATTATTTAGCCATAATGTAACTAGCGGATATATAGTACCCTTCATGTTGTAACCGCTAGTGATACTGAAGTGCAGGGAACTTCCAAATCACTAATTAATTTTTGAAGTCTGCTTTATGATCTTTTGTCTTTTGATAAGAGTCCTCCTAAGATCCAAGAAAGATAATACCCCAGTTTCTAATTTCGCCATTGCTTAAGATTGTTCATGAAAACATTAAATTCAGCTTTGATGTTAGCGATAATTCAAGACATAGCCAGAAGTTTCTATATATTCTGAATCAAAATTAAATGTAGGTAGATAATATGTTACAGTGAAAAAAGTTTCATTTTTTTTTTCAAAATCTAACAGATTAATTCATGGTAACAGACATCGATATAAATACACGGTGGCACAGCTTAAGAGTGCAATGAAACATTTAATCACTTCATCTTTGATAATTGTACTATGTTAACAGCTGATAAACGCTTAGCGTAGAAATGAATGAAAACACTTAAAGTAAAAATTCCATATATTACTTTTTAATATCTTTCATAGTATAGCGAAAGTCAGGTACGAGCAATTTCTTAAATGTATTATGATAACCATGTCATTAAACAACTTTATTCTTTGCCTTAAAATCAAAAACTTCTGTTTGTGTTGAGCCGCTAAAGAGG